AAGTGAAGCGGAAGGGATGGGAAGGGAAGGGAAGGGAAGGAAAAGAACGCAACGCAAATGCAACATCAAAGCATAAGGGAAGTTAGAGGAAGAAGACAAAAGGGAAAACAAGGAGAGCAAAAGTGAGAAAAAGAGGAAGAAAGGGGAAAAAACCGGCCAACCCCCACCCAATCGGCTTGCTCCAGTCAGGCAGCCACGGTCAGGCAGCCACGGCCTGGGCGACGTGCAAACAAAGGGGGTGGGAACGTAACAGCAGGGACGGGATGAGTGGCAAGGGGGGATGGGAAAGTTGGAGTGGGATGGGATTGGATGGGGTGGGATGAAATGGGGTGGGATGGGATGGGATGGGATGAGAAGGGAAGGGAATGGAAGAACAAGAAAAACCAAATCAGAACTAAAAAAAAATCAACAGCCCAGCCGCCCCCAGCCAAAGCCCATCCCGCCCCGCCTGCTCCAGTCTGTCAGGCAGCCACGGCCTGGGCAAGGGAAGGGAAGGGAAGAGAAGAAAAAGACTGGAAGCAAAGCCAAAGCCAATGAAAGCAAAAGCAAGCGCAAAAGCAAGCCAAGGGAAGGGAAGGGAAGGCAGGGGAAGGGAAGAAAGGGAAGGGAAGGGAGGGAAGCGAAGGCAAGACAAGGCAAGGGAAGGAAAGACAAGGAAAGGAAAAGAGACAAAGGAAAGGAAAAAGAAGGCAAGAAAAATGAAAGTGCCACAAGAAAAGCCCTGCACCCCCCCAGCCCCGGCCCGTCCCGCGTGGAGAAGACAGGGGAAGGGGAAGAAAGGGAAGGAGCGTGACAGGACAAAGAAAGGGGAAGGCCTACCCAAAAAAAGAGGCAAGGGCAATGACAAAACAGGACAAGGGAAAGGGCGCGGCGGAGAGCAAGAACAAGATAAGGACAAGGGCAATATGGAGAAGGAAAAGGATTTTGGAAACAACAGGGAAAGGGGCGGCAAGGAAAGACAAGAGAAGGACAGGGAAGCAACGGGGTGTAAAGAACAACCATGGCAAGAAAGAACAAAGAGGAAAGGACTGTGAAGGACCAGCACGATAAAACCCAGAGAAGATATGGGAAGAGCAAAGAAAGGAAAGGACAAGGACAGGAAAGGGCAGGAGATGAGAAGGGAAGGGAAGGGAAGGGGCCAAGGAAAGGTAAGGACATGAGAAACCAAGTAAAAGCAAAAGGAAAGGACAGGACAGGAAAGGGAAGAAAGGGCAAGCAAAGGACAGGACACCGCTAGCCAAGGAAAGAACATGACATGACAAGAGGAGAGAAAAAATAGGACCAGAAGAAAAGGCACGGAAAGGAAAGAAAGCCACACCCAGCCCCGTCCCATCCTCTCTGGCCTGGCACCTGTCAGGCCGCTGCAGCCTAAGCAGTGCAAAAGCAAGTTGGGATATTGGGAGAACAAAAAGCTGCAAAACCTGGCACCTGAATGCCTACCTAATTGGCGCACTGCGCATTGCTGGGATTTTTCTTGCAGGGAAGAGTTCTCCCACCAGCACGAGCAGGTTTCGCAAAGCATCCAGAGACTGGTGGACGTGGGTGGAGGGGGAAAAAAGTAGCCATCGGCGCACTCCAAGTCTGCCACCTTTTTCGTAGTGGTAGCAAGCATGCCGTGCATGGGCAGCTGTCCCGATGCACACAGGGCATGATGGCTAGCTGGGGTAAACTGGTGGGTATTAGTTGCAGTGAATGGTCATCCAACCAGCTCTTCAACATTGCGCATGTCCTTGCATTTCTGCCAGCCCCCAGCCAGTTCAGCAGGCCTGCAGCAAAAAACGCCACAGGGTGCAACTTCTTGCGGCAAAGCTTCTCTTGGGAGAGTTGGTCTGACGGGCCTGGCGTGGCCTGCAGGCCTGCATGCCGGATCTCAGCGTTGCCCTGCAGCTTGCAGAGCATCTCAAGGCCGTGCAAGCCTCAGCCAACACAAATTAGTGCCTGCAGGCTTTCTGATGAAAAGATCATGGCTCGACCATGGCCACGTACTTTGGTGCCAGGGACAGGTCAGAGTAGGCCATCTCCATGTCGCTCACCATCAGCCGCTTCCAGCCGCTCAGGGGGTCCTCGATCTGCCAGTTGTCCAGCTTGATGCTGTTGCGCAAATGCTGCAGCAATGGTAATTCCCAATTGCCATGAAAGGAGAAGATCTGGTGTCGGCCCCTGGAAGGCCTGACTGGCCAGCGCGGCCGGCAGGCTTGGCTGTGAGGGCTGCCCGCGGTGCCTCCAAGCTGCCAATCACTTTTCGATTGCCAGTGTACACGGGCAAGGTGAAGGGCTGATGCTCTTCACTGAGGACAGTCGTGGCCTGAGCTCAACATCATATTCCCCCTTAAAGAAAACTGACAAAGCGCTATCTGTGGCTAAGGTGGGCGCAATTGACCCAAAGCCAATCTCTGACTCCAATCATCCCTTGCCTGACATGGCTTCTTCCAAGCATTTCAAGGTCAAGTAGCCCGAGCACTTCCAGACCTGAAGAAAATCAAGTAGGGAACGTGTGAAGCACATGACGTTTTTGCTGTCATGGGGGCAGGAGCAGCATCAGTTGCATTCTGCCCCACCATCCTCAGGCCAGTGGCTACCAAATTCGTGATCCACTACCTTTCCCTTCCCTCTACCATTGACTAATTTGTGCCAGCCACACATAGTGCCCATGTTGCTTGCTTGCTGGAGAATGTACTCCACTGTGAAGTTTGGCGTCTCCATTGAAGCACAATGGGCCGGTGTGGTGTGCGCGGTAAAGCACTAGGCCTGCGCCAAGCCTGTTGAATGAAAGGCCTGCGTCATGCTGGCCTGCTGACCTGCTGGCCTAATGAAAGCAGCCAAACCGCAACAAGTCTTGTTGGCCAATCCCCAAAAGCACCTAAATGCAGGGCTCACCACTCACCGTTTTCCACGTTTGCCACAAAATTTGAACTTTCCCTGCATATTTTCATGTGTTTATAGAAAATATGCATTTTTTCATGGGTTTTACTGGTTTGTAAGGTGGTGGGTCCTAGGAACTGTGGGTTGGGCCCCTTTGTAAGACAATTCCAAGACACTTCAAAACACATTAAAAAAAACAGACTCTTCCCTTCCCCCTTCAACCACCTCCAGAATCCTGGGTGCCCGGCCAGCTCCAGTGGGCTGCTCGCGCCCTGAAAAAACCTTGAGGCCTGTGCATCTGCAAGGCCTGGGATAGGGGTGAGGAGGCCTGTGAGGCCTTGCCGACCCATCCCGCCAGATCCCAAAAGCTCAAGAATTACTCCCAGTAAATCCACAAAAACCTCCACAAACTGGTGTTTAGCTTTACCTTTGCCTGTGTTTAAGTTACCTTGCCTCCACCTTTTTGTTGGAACCTTAGCCCTCGCAGCCTTGCGGAATTCTTTGGAACCCAGCAAGGCCAAGCATTTACTTTGCTGCACCGTGGCTGCGGCGTGATCTGATTTGCCACAAAGCCAACATTTCGGGCTGCGTTGCCTGAGCAAGTGTGACAAAGCAGTGCAAGTGTGCTGAATGAAAACTATGGATTTCCGTTTTGCTTAGTGTTCCGCCCATGAGCAAAGCGATCTTCTGAGCCCTCAATTTACTGCTCCGTTCAGACCGCGGGCTCACGACATACTTTTTTCAGGGCAAACCACGCAACCTTGCAGAACATTACCCTTGTGGAACTCTTGCGGAACTCTGTGGAACCCTGTAAAGTCTCAGGGCCGCGCCCCTCCCACAGACATCGCGGAACATGGAAGCCTTCAAATTCTCATGGAACCTTGCCTGTTCCGAACCCTGACAGAACCGCAGCCCGCAGATGGTGGAACCCTACCCCGCAGCCTGTCTGGGCTGCGACCCCAAAGCTTTCAGCTGTTGGGGAAAAGAAATGTAAGGGGACCCCCGCCCCCCAGGTGTGCGTATCCGTCGACCCCGGGGGGAGGGGAGGGGGGTCAAAATGTAACTTGGCGCGTCGAAAGTTACTTTTTCTCAACCCCCCCCCCCCCCGTCAAAAGTTGGGGGAGTCACAAAATGCAAGCTGATGATGCTGGAGGGGCAGATGTGGCGCATGCGCAGCGGCTCTTGAAGTGGGGCAAGTTCATGAAGTTGTAACTTGGCTATGTGCCAGGCACCTTGCTGACCAGCAGCGTCCAAAATGTAATCTTACATTTGGCGCGTCCCCCGAAGAAACCCCAGAGAATGCAAACTACACTTTTCAACGTCCCGCCCCCTTAACGGGGTGGGGGTGTACTAAACCAATTCTACTTTTCCGCCCATGGTCAAATCCAGTTCTATTAGCGAGACCTGAGAGTACGTTCCCTTACTGCACTTGGGCTACAAAGCACACGTTTCCTGCACTACGCCTGTGCCACAAAGTTGCGACTTTCGAGCCGGAGCTCCGGGAGCACGGTGCTCTCCCAAAAGAGCCGGACCCCCTAATGCTATTAGCATTCGGGCGGGGAAGGCGGTTTGACATTGGGGGGTTCTCATGCTCTTTCTTGGGTATCCTATTTGCAAAGAACCATGCTGAAGTGCTGTCAGCAGCTTCCCCGATTCATCTTAATCTTGGAACACGTTTGAAGCTCGAGAGTTCAACTTCTGGCTAGCGCGGACTTAGAACGCATTTATTTGCAAATCAGTGTGCTTGCTTACTTTGACTGTCGTCCGCCCCGCCTTCTTCCCTTCCTCCTCCCGCCTTCGCCCACCTTCTCCCGCCGTCTCGCGCTTAGACTGCCTTCTACACGCGCTCTCTTACTCAAACCCGCTCCTTCCCGCCACGCCTCCTCACCCGCTCTCTCACTCACACCCCCTCACACTCACACCGATTGTCACGCAAGGCGACGTAAGATACTATAATGATATGTAACGTACGCACGTGTTGACTGCATGCGTGCACATGTTTGCCCTTTTTCTGGAATGATGGTAACCGCAAAGCTTTTAGTTCAGTGGGAGGTACGTCGGCCATGTTTTTGTTTATGTAGCTTTGTGCGTTCAACCGAATCTGCGTTTGCACATGGCTGGCAAGTTGCAGCGCTGAGGCCTGGCAGACCATTGGGCGAAGCCTGGCTGAGACAGGGTCTGCGGGCTGGCTTGTGCATCTGTCAAGCACGAGTTCAATAACAAGCGTCGACCCCCTCGCGCTTGCTTTGGTTCATTTCTATATTGTCTGGTTCTATGCGCATATTTTTGGCGTTTTGCAATTCAAAGCCCCAAGCCTCGCTGGCCGCTCTTTCCTTGAGTGTGGAGCCCAGGATCGTGTGATACCATCAGCCCCGGGTCCGGTGGAGAAGGCTGCTTCTTTGGATGGTCAGGCCAGGGCTACGTCGCTCCCCGTCGAAAACCCTAAGCCATACACATCTTTGTGAGACCCACGGTCAAGTTTGAGCGATGTTGAAGCAGTTTGTCAATTTGTTTGGTTGAGTCAAACTTCTGGTAGCTGCAAGTGTGCCCGCCGGCCGGAGTTTTCAAGCCCAAGAGCGCTGTCTAACTCAGGTGCAAAATAAGGCCCGGATGTTTCCCGCACGGGGTGAGACGTGGTGATTGAACATTGATAGCGGGGCAGAAGGGTCAGGTGGTTGCGCAGGAGCCGGAGCTCTGCAGCACATTCGTCACAAAGGAGCTGGACATTGTCGCCGGTCAATGGCAAGGGCGTGGGCCCCAAGGAGCCCAAGAAGACGGCGACCGAGGCGACGCGGAGCAACGAGGTTGGCCGGGTGTCCGGACGGAGCTCATGGACAGCGTTTGCTTGCGGGCTTGGCAAGAAGCGTGGGGGTCAGCAATAAGAACATTGCCGGACACCATGGACGGAGAAGATCACCGTCCCTGTTTTTGATGGAGAGGGCGCGGAGCAGCCCCTGGGCAAGTCGCAAGTCCTACATCGGAAGGCGCAGGTATGGTTGCGACACAAAGCTGCAGCCGCGTCAGCAAGCTCTGGCCTTGCTCGCCGGGCGTGCCTGGGTCTACGCGGAGGAGCTGAATGCCGACGCCTTGTGGAACGGGGTCCACTACTATCTGGAGTGGATCCGAACTAGGCTCATGGATGTGGAGGTCGGCTAGGGGTTTCAACGTCCAGTTTGAGTGGCTGGCACTTAGTCTTCAAGAAGTGAAGTTGGAGCTTCCGACGTTTTGGCTCTGGACAAGCTCACAGCGTCGGTCGCTGCGGCGACATGACCGGACGCGGAATCGCGGGCCCCGGGCCTGGGGAAGCCGCGCGCGTCGCCGAGGAGATCGGGGAAGGCGACCTAAGGCTACAAAAAGCAAGTTTAAGAGTTATAGTTATAGCCTTACAGAAAGTGAAGAACGCACGCAATATTTGTCTCAAACTCAAACGCATTGTTTTACGCGTACATATGTATGTATCTATCTACACATTGTTAGTTTTACGAAGGCTTGAATCTACCGAGGAGGCCGCACAATTTGCTACCTGCTAGTCCCAAAAGGCTTTGCGCATCAGCGCAAAGCTGAAGGCAAACACAGGCTTGAGTGGCGCGCCAGCATGGATTTTCCATGCGTGCAAAACGCATAAAAACGCATAGAACATAAGAAAACATAGAAAGTTCACAGAACATTGCTAGACAATTCAACCGGAAGTTATAGAAAAGTTGTTCTTAAATCTTGTTTAAGTAGTTCTTAAATCTACCCATAAATTGAAAACTACGTAAACCCAAGATGTTGCGTAAATTCTTCGCTTCTTAGGGCAAGACCGAGAGCGAGGCTGGAGAACGGCAGGCAGAGCCAGACGAGACGTGGTCACGGAGGTCGCAGCGCTACAAGCAGCGCTGCCCGCCTTAGTCGCCGCACCAGCGCGCCAAGTCGAAGTATCGGTCAGCCATGAAGGGGCGTGGAGTCGACATGGAGCTTTCCGCTCAGTATTAGCATCGTGATTCCAAGGGTCCCCTGCGCAAGACCAGCAGGTGGACATGTGTTGAGCAGGCGCAAAGGGGCTACGAGGGGCGCGAGAAGTCTGGCAGGGATCGTCAAGGAGAAGGACCAGCTAAAGCTTGGAGCTTCGGCTTCGCGCACTAACGCCTCACAATTTGCAGTGAATGCGCTCTTCGCTGGTTGGAAAGCATCGCGCCGTGCCAGGTCCCGTTGCTGTTTTCGAAGCAGGTCCTGACACGTAATCGACATGGTGGGTTCGGGTGGAGACAGATGTCGAGAAGCTGTTGGCCGGCGTTGGTGATGTGCGCATTGATGACTCCCTGGACACTGGCTTGACCGGACCGCAACCTGAGCGCAAGAGGAAATTCCAATAGCTTCGGCCGTTGCGGCTTGTGGGAACAGAGCAATCGAAGCCTTTTCCTCGATGCGCTGGTGGTGGTCCGCATTTGGTCCTGCCAGGCGGCATTCCCTGGCAATTTGGTCACGTGCGCAGCCCCGATTTGGATCCGAGTTGCTGCCGGCAGTTCGCCTTCGGGCAGTTTCTGGTATGGGGATGGTACTTTGTACCTCGGCAGGATGAGGTTTTTTCTGAATTCGATTCCTTTTGCGTTTTCTGGTCTCGACCAACGGTTTATGCTTCTTTCAGTGCCATGAGTATGCTAAACAAAGAAGTCGAGGAGTTCCGGTTGAGTGCGCCTTTGCATATCTCCGCGCTCGTCAAGATTGCCACTGAGGAAAAATGCTCCCAAGCCAACAAGAAGAATCGAGCGGCCCCGGCAGACACCACGGTGGTCAACTTCAGCGAAGGTAGCTGTGCGATGTCGCAAGCATGTTGCTCAGAGACATTGTGATCTCGCTGAGAGAAGATGTCGCCAGGGATTGCGTGAGAAACGCTGCATGTGCAAGCTACTGGCAAGTAGTGTGCCAAAGTCCGCATGTGACACTCTCATGCTCTCTCTCGGCAGCCTGGGCGCTATCTATCTCTGCAATATCTTCGTGCGTTTTTGATGGAGGTTTAGCAACAAAGAAAACGCCGTGCTTGCGAAAAGGCAAGAAGCTATTGTTGAACCACCACGTCTCTGCTAAATGTTTACCTGTGCGCTGCTACACTTCCATGTACATTGGTTTTAGTTTTTCACCTCCCCGGTAATCTGTCCCGGACCTAGGCGTGGTCTGTCCGCACAGTCGCGGTGCAATCTCGCTGCGCAACCTCTGCGCAAGCTTAACACGTGCGCTCTCTACCCCACACACCGCTCTGCGCAATCCCGGCCCGCGTCCTAAAATTGTGAGATCTCTTTGCGCAAGTGGAATAATATGCGGTCGAGTTGCAACTTGTCGCTTGCTGCGTTCGCCCTGGATACTGGCGCCGGCATCGTGCCACAATCCAAGGCAGCATAAGCTCGCTCCGCGCAGCCCGTGTTGTTTTCGCTTGCCTGCGTGCAGCGCTGTTTGCGCACTAAGGACGGCTGTGGACCATCATGATGTTTTAGCGCGCGCGCTCTGTTTTGGAAGGCGGTCACGCAAGCCGGCTCGAGCCCCCACTTTTCGCTGAAATGGCACCCGCTAGCCAGTAAGAAACCAGTATCTGAAAGCTATTTTTGCATTTATGTACATATGGAAGCATGTGTATTGTATATAATTCTATACACATACATATGTATATACATATGCACCCCCCCGTTTGAAGGCTTTTTTGGAGCTGGGATGCAGTTGTTTTGGAATGCCCCACGCGACTTGACCAGCATGAGCTCACCTTGAGCAAGGAAACCCTCTTCCAAATCTAATTTGGAACACCAATTCCAAATATGTTTTCTTCGAAAAAGGAAATCCTGTTTAGAATTTCTTTGGCGGAGTTATTTCCTCATCAGATTCCAGTTAATTCTAAATAGACAGTGGGGAAGCAATATCGCGAGAAAGGACGTTCTCTTTCATTTCGTTTGGAAGTAAGAGTCCGGATTAGCTTCAAAATGGAATCCTCTTCAAGTCATTTTTAGGTCTAGAAATTGTACCAGTAGAGCCGGCGAAGCCGGTGGGCGGAAGTTTCTTGCCTAAGGCATGTGTGTGTGTGTTTTCGTTCGCTCTTTCTTTCTTTCTTTCTTTCTTTCTTTCTTTCTTTCTTTCTTTCTTTCTTTCTTTCTTTCTTTCTTTCTTTCTCCTCTCCTGAAATGTTTCCCTTTCAATGTAGGGGGGTCTCAAAGTGCCCTGGCTCACTCCCAGAGCAAAGTTCTCAGGGCAGAGTCCAAAAAGGATCAAAAAGGTATCGCCCTGCCGCCAGAGTGTGTCGTTGGCCTCAACACGCTGTGCGCAAAAGACAATGCGACTTTCAGAAACCAACCCCAAACTAACAGGGGGGAGCCAAGACAGGGGGAGGGGAAACAGGGATCGCCTTCCCGTAAGAGTGTATCCTTGGCCTCAACACACTGTGTGCGAAAGACACTCCCACCCCATGCGACAACCAGAAATTCGAGTGGCCCCGGATGCAACCCCAAACTAACAGGGGGGCACCGAAACAGGGGGAGTCAAGACACGGACCGCCTTTCGTAAACGCGCCTTTTTGCTGCATCGCTGACTGCATGGCACTGGCACTGGCACTGACTGCGCTGGCACTGACTGCGCTGGCACTGACTGTGCCTCGACAGCGCAGCACTTGGTCAAGACTTATCTCTAGTTTGGTTCTTACGCCAGCGTTTGGACCTGCTGATCTGGACCGGCTCTACATGCGCTGACACCCCTAGAAATGTTATATCTTTCTTCAGGTTTGCAGTCAGGCTTTAAGACAACGAACGCTCACACTGGCAGTCGAAGAACGCCCGGTGACCTAATTGCATTGGCATCAAGACGGCCCCATGCCAGCAGCTGCTACGTTGCTTGGGTAAGCTCATCTCTCAAACGCTTCGTTCGAGAATGCAGCGTCATTTGCAGAAACTCCCGCAGGGATCCGCAACTCAAGGAGCGCGCAGCTCCTGTCTAGCGCCGGGGGCAAAATTGCAACTCCACAATCTTCCAGCGCTGCATTGACAGCAAGCCAGGGACGGCTGCCGTCAAAGTCAACCATTGGTTTTGCAACCACGCACAGCAGGGTGTCTTCTCCGCAGCCGCGTGAGCATGGACTGCTGTAGGCTGACGGCCCGCTGCAGTTTGGCTCGGGCTGCGGCCTCATCTAAAGCGTGCGCAACATCAAAAGTGACGCACACGCCCTTCTCAGCAAGCTGGCGTCGCGCGTGGGGTCTCCCAGTAGCGCTCGAGGCACGATCTGTGGCCGGTCCACGAGCGCGTAGGCTCCTGCAGAGACCTGCCCGACGGCGTCCACTTCAAAGTCACAAAGCTTGACAAGCGGCGCTCAGGGCCAACGCGAAGTTCGTCTTTTGGGACCAGGCATGTCGTTCACTGAGACATGGGTGCCAAACCACAATAGGCGCACGCGCGAAAC